TCTGTCTGTGTACTGTATCTGTCTGTCTGTGTACTGTATCTATCTGTCTGTGTACTGTATCTGTCTGTCTGTGTAGTGCATCTGTCTGTCTGTGTACTGTATCTGTCTGTCTGCGTACTGTATCTGTCTGTCTGTGTACTGTATCTATCTGTCTGTGTACTGTATCTGTCTGTCTGTGTACTGTATCTGTCTGTCTGTGTACTGTATCTATCTGTCTGTGTACTGTATCTGTCTGTCTGTGTACTGTATCTGTCTATCTGTGTACTGTATCTGTCTGTCTGTGTACTGTATCTGTCTGTCTGTGTACTGTGTATCTATCTGTGTACTGTATCTGTCTGTCTGTGTACTGTATCTATCTGTCTTTGCGTCAGTCAGTTGGTTGTTTGTTCTCAACCCTCAGTCAAACTGTCAATCAGGTATGAAGTCTGGCAGTCTAACAGTTCATCAGTCCATAAGCCAACCAAACAGCCAGTCAATCAGTCAGTCAGTCCCTAGGTCTGTATGTTTTTCAGACGGACTGATAGACTTGCCTCTCTTGCATACCTGTCAGCTTCATCAAGGACAATAATCTCCACAGTTTGTATACTGAATGAAGGAGTGTTATGTAGATGATCCACGAGTCTCCCAGGTGTAGCAATCACAATGTCAGGTCCTTTCCTCAATGCTGCTTCTTGAATTTTACTATCCAACCCCCCTACAAAGAGTACAACATTACCTTAAACATTACAATTGAATGAATTATGTTCATAATTTATGTGGGTATAATTAAACATGTTTCCTCGTCAAAACAACACCCTATTGTTATGGAAGTAAGGACACAGAACTTTATATGATTGCTGTACTCTATATCATGGCGTGGAAAAATTTGCCACCTATTAAAACTGGTTTTGATACATAACTTGGTTTACTTTAGAAATTCCACTAAATTTATGAAAACTGTAATTTGTACTCCATCAAAAGGTTTGTAAACTGTATTATTATAAACTGTATTTTTTAATAAAAAGACAAACAAGACATGAAAATAATAAGTAATTAAATAAATAACATCACCAACCTGTGGCCAGGCAGACCTGGATGTTTGTGTGTTTGCACAAGGTTTTGGTCACTGAATGAACCTTCAACATGAACAAAAAATGTATCTACTTCAGCTATGTTATACCATGAAAACAAAAAAAAAAAAAAAAAAAAAAAAAAAAAACAAATGAAATACATACATGTACATTGTACTTGAAACAGGGCAACATAAATCTGTATCAAGATAATACTGTGTGATGGTAAGGTTGTGTGAATGATGAGTCATTTGCTTGAAGTAGATTTAGTTTTGAAGTTTTGCAGACAGTTTGCTGACCATGGAAGTATTCAATTTCCATCACAGAATTAACTCATAGGACAGTATATCATGATAAAACCCTGCGTTCCTCTTATTAACTGAGTTAAGTACTATACTGTAAGTTGTGGACCAAGTTTTTTTCTTTTTACCCTGATTTATTCCCTTAAGCACAAAGCCTGTGGGCCAGAAATCACCACTGAAAGAAAGGAGTTCTGTAGACTGAAAAAGTTTATTAAGATATTTCTCATATCTCTGAGTTCTAATAGAGGGGGAAGATTTTAATTCAAACAATCATTTGAATTTAGCTGGCCATACAGTATTATTATTATTATTGTCAATGTACAGTGAAATATGGTCTGCTACACTGTAAATTGTCCAATCATAGCACACATACTGTACATATACTTTTATTATAAAGAACATTAGCCTTGGTAAAAGGTTTTAAAGTATGAAAAATACCAAAACTATTTGCATTCAGTGCACGTACACAACTTCAAATTTCTATCTTGATGTATCCCATCAGATTATTATCAAATCTTAGACTCTCAGAAGTGACGAACATGTAACTTCCCCCTATAATATCTTTACATTATCCCACAAACAGGTTATGAGAATACTCAAACTTATCAGATAGAAGTGGTTCTCTCCACCAGAGACCAAATTGTTACAGTAGTAAATAATTAACAAGGAAATGTTTCCCCGCTAGAGGGAAGAACGACAATCAGATCTTGATAGTAAAAGGGTTACCTGCCTTTCAAACACCCAAAGTACTGGTTGTTGGAAGGAATGAACAGTACATACTGTAAAGTATTTCATGATTAGGGAACAGTAATCTGCTTTACCTGAATGGCAAGTTCTCTGGTGGGAGTTAAAATAAGGACTCTTGTTACTGCAGCCTGTTGTGGTCTGTAAATCAGTCTCTCTAGTATTGGAAGCATGTAAGCTGCTGTCTTACCTGGATGAGGTAACAAATGTACAGAAAATATCAATTTGTACAACACAACAGAAAAAAGTTGACTTTTAATAAGAAATCAAACCTGTAGAAGACCAATAAAAACTGACCAAGATAATTACTTCAAAAACAATTTTCAACCTCTAAGAAAAAGAAATGAAAAAACGAAGAGAAAGAACAGACAATTTTGAATCTCAATTTAACCAATTTATTCACAAAAAGTACTGTACTGGATCCAACTGCATTTTGAGTTATTACAAAAATGAAAATAATTCTTTCTATGCTTGATAAAATTAATTTCAATAATCAACAAGACTATGAAGAACCATGAAAATCATCAAATTAAAGTATCATGGAAGGGAAAAAATAATTTTTTCAATTTCCTGAAAATTTAATATCTAATATAAAAATAAAGATATATCTTCTTCTGAAAATTTTATTTTGATAACATTTCTTTTACTTCAGGAGATATAAAACAAAAAGTAATCTGAGAGCAGAAGAAAGGCACGATATTGATGACACTTCATGTCAACTTGTTCTAGTCACCTAGCTAACAATTTCAAAACCACTCTTGATTTTCAATGTACACTGGTCTGTACAGTTTTTTATTACACGACTTGGGCAGTCAGAGGGCCAATAACTAAAATCAACCATTCAAAATGCTCTATTGCCGGTCAATAATTATTCTCTCAGTATTGGACCNATGGGAAATTAACATCTCCTACCCCTAACCCTGAAGGAGACAGGGCCTACGGTTTATTTGTCTTTATCCAAGAAGATTAAAATATCTATCCATTTCTTGATATTATAGAAAGGTAGCACATTCTCCTCAGTTATTTTAAGACCCTGAGCGTTGGTCCGGCAGGGGCTTGAACCCTCGACCTCCCGCACAACAGTCTGGTGCTCCACCAATTGAGCTAACCAGGAGGCAGTCAACTGACTGCTTAATAAACAGTGAGTGCTTCATACAGTGCCATTCAATACAGATTCAACTGTATTCATTTGACTATTTTCCACCAGAAAATAACCCCAATAGTCTATGGGTGCAAAACTGACCGCAAGAAAAATTTCAACCACCTGTGTTGTGGGCTTTTTAAATTTCTCTATCTTACATGTACATGCTCATCTATTTAAAATACATAATTTGAAGCATATTAAGGAAATGATACAAAGAAACTCTTGAACCAGTTTTAAAAATCTTAATTTGACGAGATTGCTTTTATTAATAAAAATGGCCCCATACTGATTAGTAACAATAACAGCAACTTTAAAGCTTTGCACTTGAAGAAGATAGAAGAAGTGACTTGTCTGTTTCTAAAGACTGTATACAAAGATTTTTATACATTACCTTGAGTAAAGGTCTTGACAAGTTCATTGTTGTAAAAGTTTGATGTTTCAGCTGAGGAGGAGGTTCTTCAAAAAATTTCTTTTTCTTCTCAGTAACCTAAAAATAAGTCAAAACATAAATTTCAAGACCTCCCTACAGTCCTGTAGTGCACATGTACAAAGGATCTCCATGACAGTCCTTATAAAGCATTTTACCAATCCATGTACCATGCTCCAAAATTCCTTGCTCTTATTGTGTAACAGGAGCATATATTTCTTTGCTAACAAATTGTGTTTACCAAATGAAACATCTCACTAAAATGGTAATAGCTGCTTAAAACCCATGTTTATTCTTGTGCCATGTCCTTTGTTTTTTTGAACATGATTTAGGGTTTTGCAGAGCAGTTTGAAAAACTTAAAATTTGAAAGATGTTTGTCAAACAGCAACATTGACGTAATCAAGTAAGAGATTCTAACTGCTACAACCAGGAATTTGAATAATGATCCCTGGCAAGAAAGAATGAGGCATCACTGCTTTACAAGCTCCACCAATTTCTTTTATTTTGAGTTTAAAATTATCTTTCACACTAAAACATTCGGAAAATTGTCATAACATTTACAAATTATTAACATTTAAATACCAAAAGATAATAACAATATCTTAATTGTCTCCTCTGTCTACATACCTTATCAATCGTTTCTTCATCTTCTGAACTGCTGTCTTCATCATCTGAATGTTGTATGGAATTGTCTACTACAAATGATAAATGTCATTCTCTGATTAGCAATGTGACAGCTGTAGAGTGTAGCACACATGTAAAGCAATACCTTGACTGATCAACAACACTAGTAAGTTACTAAACACTGCAGTTGAACACCACTAACTTAATCATTATTTAACTTGGACTCCCTGGTAACTCAACTAAGAACCAATTCCCCTTGATGTCAATTTTTTAGTCATTTACTGTGAGCTAACTTGAATCCCGCTTACTTGAACCATTTTTGTTTCCCTTGGGTGTCTGTGGTGGCAGGGTTCTACTATAAATACTTGTACATAGTTGCACAATTAAGCAGGTTTGTTATAGAGCATCAAACAGTCAAAGATGAGTGTTTTCCAGCAGCAAAAGTCAATTTGATGAGAACCAAAATAATTATATTGAAAAGATGAAAAAAATGAGCCGGTTGCTCAAAGGGCAGATTGTCAAGAAACTTTAATCACATAAAAAATAAAACTACTACACTGTACATGTAGCTGCTTATGCAATTTAAAAATGAATTTCAAATGGAACAAATTTAAAACTAGTTTGTTTCCCCCCCCTCCTGTTCCATTGATTCAGGCATGAGCCTAATCAATAAGCCCTTGGAATAAGACAAAATGATACAAATCAAAACTAACCATATTTTGACATAAATTTCAAAGTACATAATACTTATAGATGTCGCAGCTTAAAATCAATTTCTTGTAAAAATTATTCAAACCAACATTAACTCAAATGTTGTCTTACTTCAGTAACATCAGTGCAACCAATAAATCAGTTTTAAATTTAACCACATCTGCTTCACAGAAATGTTGCTCACCTATGTATTCCACACCATTCCCAACCAACTCTTTTTCTTGTGTCTCTTCCATCTGATTTTTGACACCATCTTCTTTCCCAACTATAGCTTGACTTTGTATGTTCTCCTTCTCTGATTTCCTCTAAAAATTTTGTCAAAGTTGTTGCAGTAGTATAAGAATACAGTATTTACAATTCACATTAATTACTGTTTTTCAGAGTTATTATAAATATGCATGTGATCACATAGTCTGAGGAATAAATCAAGATGGAAAAAGCTGGCTTCTGTTATCAAGTGATTAATGGTTGGCATCTGTTATCACTTACATTATAATTATTATACTTTTATAACATAATGAACATACACTTTGTCTGATTGGTCAATTCAGTTTCCAAGCAGACGCTATGTCAGGTTTATAGTTCATCACTAAATTTCTCAGATTCTTATTGGTTTAAATTGATCAAGTGATGCAATAGTGTTCATCCATGGAGAGACAGTATCAGCCCATAGTGTCTGTCCATGGAAATACCCAGATGGATAGTACTCATCTGTAAAAAAAATTGGGAATGGTTTGACGGCCACGAAGTTAGGCAAATCGGAAAAACAGTGACTTTTCAACTCTGACAGGTAGAAAATTTTAAGTTTAATAATGCTTTTACCACTGTACAAGAAAAATAAACAATAAATAGGTACAGAAGGTAAAGGAAAGCAATAGGGGGAAATTGAATTCCCATTTAAAAACTGCTCTCCAAGTTCGAAGATAATAAAATCAAAGGAAATGTCTAATGCATAACCACACATCTAGATAAAAAAGAAAACGGAGGAACTACTATGTCTTGACAATAAAATCTAAATATAGTAAAATTATAATAAATAATACAATAATAAATAATCGATTTTTAAAGACCTTTAAACTAGGAGCCGACATAACAGAATTAGGTAACGAGTTCCAATCATTAACATAACGGTTAAAAAAATGAGAACAAAGCCAATGTACGGTTGTAAATTATTGACATTTGTGGCAGGCTGTACACATGAATAAATATTTGATTGATCTGCATTTAGTGGGTTTTGACTATTTTTCAACTGGCGTACGGAAGAAAATTTAGTGGTGAACAATAAAGACAATAGAGTGTTTATGTCTTGGAACCATCGGTCTGATAGTTGCCCCTTGGAAATTTGAAGTTCTTAAAACTAGCATATTTGTTTTGAGAATATCAAATTTCCATGGGGCAACTATCAGCCAATAGTTCCT